AAAAAAATTCAGGAAGAGCAGTTTGGGGCTGACACAATGTCCAAGGACCACCACATGTTCTTACACCAAGAGTGGACCTGCAAGGGAAAACGATAGCACAGAATTTCAAAACCACAGGCCAGAGAGACAGGTGATTTTCCCAGTCAACAAACACAGCAAGGACTCACTCCCAGGTAACACAGATTCACCTAGGCCTCAGGTCAACAGCAGTAATGTCATTAGAGAAGTCAAATCATCTTGCAGAGCTTAGCCAAATACTACCAGTAATTCAGCAAACAGCTACAATTTCACAAATGCACTGCTTTACCCAAATGGTCATACTGCACTCAAATCTCAAAGAATATTATATTTAGTAAGAACCTAACACAGGAAAGAGGTTGTAGGGCTGAGGCAGCTCAGTTGACAGAGTGCTTGCCTAGCATGCACAAGACCTTCGCTCCATTTCCAGCACTACATACACTTGGCATGGTGGCCTATAGTCAGTAGATGGGGGCAGGAGGATCAGGAGTTCAAGGTCATCCTCAGCTACACAGGGAGTTTCAGGTCAGCTTAAACTACAAGAGATCCTTGTCTTAAAAGGAGGATTAAAAAAGAAAGAGACAGAAAGAATGCATATTGTTATGCAATGTGGTTCAATTAGGATTAAAAATGACAAATCAAATCATGTCTATTTAATTAGTAAATCAGCCCGCAAGACTTCCTCCTATTTCTGCTTGAAATTGAGTTAAACTCCCAGTGCTCTCTCAGAGGAGCCCTGTCTGTCTGTCCCTGTGGTCTCTTCAGAGACAATGGATCCATCCCAGGCAACACTGGTAGACTGTCATTTCCAGATCACACCATGATGTCATGAGCAGAGATATCTGACCTTGGCCCTTCCAAGCACTGCCCCACTATGCAAGTCAAGATTGTAAACAAGGGGCTGGAGAGATGGCTCAATGGTTAAGAGCACTGGCTGCTCTTGCAGAGGACCCAGGTTCGATTCTCAGCACCCACGTGGAGGCTAACAACCATCCCTAACTCCAGTTCCAGGGGAATTTAATGGTCTCTTCTGACCTCTGTGGGTATTGTACAACATGGGTGCACTTACATACATGCAGGCAATACACTCATACACACAAAAATAATAAATAAAATATTTTTTTTAAAAGCTGTAAACAAAAAAGTAGGGCAAGGTGGGGCATGCTGATAGGGCATCCAGCACTCTTTTGGCTGAGGCAGGAGGATTACCTGGGCTACACAGTGAGACTCTTGTCTCACTCACAAACACATAGCTGGGGATATAGCTCAATGGTAGGTAGAGTGCTTGTCTGGTATATGCAAGGCCCAGGTTCTATCTCCAGCACTACCATCAAGAGATGATAGGTGGCATATGAACATTCATACACACACACACATGCACGCACACATGCATACATATATGCAAGAATCCAATATTGTCCATCCTTTTTTTTTTTTCTTTCAGTCTTTTTGAGACACGGTCTCCCTGTGGCCCTGACTGGCCTGGAACTCACTATGTAGACCAGGCATTGTCCATCTTTTATAGCAAATACAAAAAGGAGGGAAATTACTTTTCACATACATTTAAGGACATTTTTTTGTAGTTCTGGTCTGAAAGCTCAGGGCCTGACATGTAGGCAAGAGCTCTACCACTAAGCGATAGCCCCAGCCCCTCATGAACATTTTAATGAATCGTATGTTTTGGGACCAGCAGAACAGTGGATGTTTAAACAGGTACTGCATCTTGCAAACTCTGGCTGGCAGAAGCCAACTGATTCACTGATTTTCCCCCCTCCCATTACTCCTTCTTCCTTTTTCCCTTCCTCTTCCCTCCCTCCCTCCCTCCCTCCCTCCCTCCC